CACTCTTTCTTTTGCCTTAACAACCTAACAAATCCTCTCTCATGCGCATGCTCTCTGTTTGTTGCGCCTTAGGCCGTGGGGTTCCAAGGCGACGTGAGGAAGCAAGAGGACGCGGCCAGGGTTGTTGAATCCACGTTCAAGCATTTCGGAAGGATTGATATTCTCGTCAATGCTGCTGCTGGCAACTTTCTCGTTTCCGCTGAGGATCTTTCGCCTAATGGATTTCGAACTGGTTCTGTTTTTGCAACTTTTTTTTTTAATAATTTTTTTTGAATGTGTGGATTTCGATTTATCTCGCTGATGATCACGTGAATTAAGTGGTTTTGGTAGTTTGTTGGTTTGGATTAACCAGAGTTTTGGTATACAACTGTGTTAGATGTTGGGATGGTGAAGAGAATTGCTTGTGGTAGTAGAGGTTACTTTTAGTCTATACCTAAAAAGGAAAAGAATTCCTATGTAGTTTTAGTTTTGCTTTCTGATTAGAAGTGAAATTTCAACTCATGAGGATTAATACTTGTGGAATGTCTTTTTAAGACACTTTCTACTTGAAAACTACAAAGTCACGCCTAAGACTCGTTAAGTAAAAGGTGAGATCAACCAGAGGTCTTGAGTTCGATTGCTAGGTATGCAGTTGTTTTAAATACTCGAAGAGAGAGTTTTGTTGTACACAGTGGTCGCTCAGATAGAATTGCTTTTGATGTATTGTCTTTACAAAAAAAAAAATAGTATAAAGGGTGACCAATAAAATTGTGTTTTCTAATAAATTTCAGCTAATATTAGATACTGCGTGCACATATTAGTAAATCTCAATTTCGATTGGAGAGTTGCACCGAAGGTATTACTTCAAATTTTTGTTCATTATGCTAATTGCTATTAGGCACAACACAGTTCTCATATCGAAAACCTCATTTGCTTAAAGAAGAACCGTCCTTGAAAAATGTGGATAGGGTAGATTCGTTATGTTTCACATGAGTGGTTACTCTAAGACACTTTCCAAGTGACAAGTTTTCTCGGGTTTAGAATATGATGCAACCACATTTCTAAATAGGCTGAAAGAGTAAGAGAAAGGAAGTGTGATAGGATGTAACTATTCTTTGCAGTTTTGGACATTGATTCTGTTGGCACATTCACAATGTGCCATGAAGCACTAAAATATCTCAAGAAAGGGGGAGAAGGAAGGAGCAGCTCTTCTGGTGGGGGAACAATAATAAACATTAGTGCTACCTTGCATTACACAGCTTCTTGGTACCAAATTCACGTGGCTGCAGCAAAGGTTTATAGCACATTACTTTGACGTTAAAATCACCTTGTTGGCATTCACATTTAAATTTTTACTGTTCAACAGGCAGCTGTTGATGCCACTACGAGAAACCTGGCACTAGAATGGGGAACAGACTATGATATCAGAGTCAACGGCATTGCACCAGGTCCAATAAGTGACACTCCTGGCATGAGTAAATTGGCTCCTGATGAAATAAGTAGTAAAGCCAGAGATTACATGCCGCTGTATAAACTTGGGGAGAAATGGGATATTGCCATGGCTGCACTTTTCCTAGTATCAGATGCAGGTTGGTCACTTCATCTATTCACCCAAATATTTTAAATTATTGTTTCAATCTTGTCTAAATGTTTTTATCAGGGCAATAGAATATTGTTTCTGTGTATAAGAATGTTCATGTACATTGGATGTCTTGAACTTCCATTCCACTTTATTTTGTACAGCTCCCAGAATCCAAGAGAAGTATAGGAAGATTACAAAAATGAAATTCTTAATAAAATTATTTTATTTGCAGAGTATTATTATATATGCTTTAACCACTTTATCCCAAGTTCCTACCAGCCAGTACTATGCTAGACATGTTTCACCAAATGGCACTAATAGAATGCATTTAATTAGTACTTTGGTGAATATGTGCTTTACAATACTACATATTTCTTGGAAACCATTCGGAAATCTTGGAAGATATTTTCCTAACTTTCTTCTTTCAAAATCAGGGATATGTAGTTCGATTTCTTGCATGATTAATTAGGGGTGTTTGAGAGTTTATCAAGTATTAGATTTCGTGCTTTGGTTTTTGCTGTACTTGCAGTTTAAGTATCTGACAGCGAAATCACAAGATGTACATGAGATAATTATGTAATTGGAAGCTGGATTCCTCTGTACGTTATTTCATATTCTTCATACTCCTACTCCTCTAGACCACAAGTATAATCTGGTTTCTTAAGCAGTATTCATTTGTGTTTACTTATTTTATAATATCTATTTATCCTGTAGCTCTTTTTAGTTTTTTTTTTTGTATGACAGCATATAATTTATGATAAGGAATGTCTATGTCTGTTCTACTCTTATTGCAATTTTGTTTTATATCATACGGAGTCTTGGCTTCTAGCAGATTATTCCTATGCTAGAATTGATTAAAACAAGGGAATGTTTTTTCCAGCCTACACTCCCTGTATTTTGTTTGTATGTTATGTCTTTCCAAAATACAATGCTCCTCTATTGTAATTTATAAAAGTGACGGATTTTTTTTTTACTTTCTACCTTTTTCAGAAGAGACTAGGTCTTTATCTAGATGATATATCCATCCACACTTTCGTTTCCCAAATAAACCCTTATTGCACGTCTATGTGATATTTGATATCCTGGTTCAATTTTTTTTAATTCTATGGCTTACATATTTGCCCAGTTGGACCTCGAACATCCGTTAAAATTTTCTTTTACATCAGATTTTTATGGCATATGCTACAATTAAGTTGGAGAAAATGGCCACCCTTAATTTTAGAAAAAAATTGTTTTGGTATAATAAAATCACCTTGAAATATTGATTGTTCTTGATTTTGCTAGGATAAATGATTCACGACGAGTAATTTGCATTTTGAATTTCCACCATAGAGTATGGCTAACCCAAATTTGGAGACACATAATAGTCATGTAATGAAATTTTCATCTGTTTATAAAAAATCTTTTTTAAAGTTGTTTCTGAACGTTCCTTCCGATATGCTCAATTGTTCATTACTTATATGCCATCATACAATTATCTGATTGATAGACTTTGTTAAAACATATCAAATTAGTATCTTTTCCTTTCACCAACTAAATAATGAGACCGTCTCATTATTCTAGAAAAATATATTCATATTTGACACTGTTATATTATTGAAATGAGGGCTATGTTATTCTAGATACCTCTCTCAGTCATCATTTTATTCATTTCCTTCTTTTTTCTTCCTTTTGCCTATGAAAACTAAAAATATTTCTGCAAATTTGTAAAGGAAAATACATTAATGGCGACACTCTCATAGTTGATGGAGGACTTTGGCTGAGTCGGCCTCGTCATTTATCGAAAGAGGACGTAAAGCAGGTATCTCGAGCAGTAGAAAGGAGATCAAGAAATGCACCAGTTTCTGTTCCAAAAAGCAAGCTATGAGCCACCAGATTCAGGTGTTAGCCACTCTGCACGGCTTAGAATCTATTTATAATGTGTAGGATATTATGGATATCGAAGATATGTGTGTTACTTCTAATGTATTGCGTAGTGAAACTTTCTCAAATAAAATGTGATTATTAGAAGTGAGAGCTAAATAAAATGTGATTATTAAAAGTAAGAGCTATGTCTGATTCTGACACCCAAAAATAAATTTTAAAAAAAAAAATTGAAGTTGGACTTTCCACGATTGTGCCTTATGCTATTATCTGTGCTTGGAATTGACGGCCTGTGCTGTGGGCTAGTGACAGACATGGTCCATGGTGAACCAACTTTGATTACCCGCTACAAGAGGTTATCAGGTTTCAAAAGAAATTCTTTTTGTACATACTTAAATATTTTTTTATAAGTTAAAAGTATTTTTTTTAATTTTTATAATTTAAAATAAATATTTTTAGTCTTTATATTTATCTTTATTAATTCTTTTCAATTTCTATAGTTTAAGATATACATTTTTAGTCTCTATACTTAATTTTTTTAAAATTATTTTTAGTGTATGTTATTATTATTTTTTTTGTAATATTGTCTTTCATGTTGACATGATAGACGTCTTTAATTTTGTAAAGGTAAAAAAAGAGGTGTCTTAACAATGAGATTTTAGATAAGGGTAAAAGAAAGAAAAGCATGAAATCGCGATATCTAATTTAGGGTAAATTTAGTAAAATAAATTTGACATTAGTTACACAATTTTAAATACTTATGTAATATTATCACGAAATAAAAAATATTACAAATAAATTAAACATGGACTAAAATGATTAAAATGTTATGAGAATAGAGACAAATAATTATCTTAAATTATATAGACTAAAAAAAATTAAAAAAAGTATAAGGACTTAAAATTTCTATTTTAAATTATAGAAATTAAAAGATAAAATAAGCAAAATTTTAATAACTAAAAAAGTATTTTAACTTCTATAACTCCATTTGAGCTTCATCCAACATCCTCGAATGTCATTAACTTCATTGCATTTTCTTTCCACATCCACATTGATTCACGCCGGCAATAACTCCATTTCTTCTCTTTAACACCTGCAAAGCCCTTTTTTTCTCTTAGACCGAATCACCATATGCACCCGAAGATTAAAATCGAAAATCAAAACAAAAAAAAAAACAAAAAAACAAAAAAGAAAGAAAGAAAAACGAAGGGGAAGAAACAAAGCAAAGGAAAGTTGAACTTGGTATGTGGCTTGGAGAATAAACAAATCCATGTCAGTGAAAGGTGACTCCATGACCTGATATTAAGAAGATGCGATAAATATTATATTTTTAGCAATTGAACATTTCAAAAAGAAAATGTGAAACCAAGCTTGAGGAATTAGAAATTGAAAAATCAAAATTGAAGTTGAAAATATTATAAGAGAATTATAAGGACAATTTAATCTTTTTATTCTTATTATTATTATTATTGGACACTCATATGATGTTCAATATTATTAGAATTTGATTTTGAAACATAATTTAATTTTGCAAAACCTTTTATATAAGTGAGGAATATTTAAGTTTTATAAGTGTACCTTCCCGGTAAAATGCTGACTGGACCCCCTCACTCGTCTTTCTCCCGACAGGTCCCTTAGTACGGGTCCTTATGTATAATGTGACAATAAAGTACATTTGTTATAAAAAAAATATATAGTAATATTTGTGTTTAAGTTCAATGTAATTAAATAAGAAATAATAACGTGCCTATGTCAATTAACCCTTCTTTTACCTTGACATTCTTGAAACGGTGATTGAAGTTGCTAGCAATGTGACAAATGCAATAGACATGGTATGCATTAGGTGGTTGCCAACCCAAACTTGCATTGTCAACAGTAGACTTAATACTTTGATGGAAATCTAATATCAAGCAAATGCCCTGTTTTTGGGTTACATATTAATGAATTTTGGCCAAAACCCAAGACCAATTGCTTAATGTCTCTCCCGCAACAATTAGAAGAGTGTCATCCTGAGTGGTTGCAATTAGAATAATGCCTCAATATTTTCTGTAAAGGAATGTCCCATCAATTTGTATAATAGGTTTAGTAAAATTGAATGCATCACATGCTAGTTTGAATGTCCCAAACACGTGTCTAAATTGATAGAAAAGAATGGCACAATCCAAGAGGGGGGGTGAATTGGATTCTATGACCCTTTAAAAAATTATCAGAGTTTCTAGGATCTTTATTTCACTTAAAACTTTTCTATGACTGAATTTCCAAATGAAGCTTTTCTAAAGACTTGTTATGAAAATATGAATGCAATATGCCCACTTGATTACAACATAATGAGGTTCAATAACAATGCACTAATTCAGATTTAAACCATCAAGATTCACATACACTTGTTAATCAAGTTTTATCTTCTTTAAAGTTCAACCAAGAAATTACACAATGTAAAAGATAAGGTAGAAGAAGATTGCACAAGTCTTTTATACTGGTTCAGCCACTCCACATGTGACCTACATCCAGTCCTTAATCAACACCTGATTAAGATTTGTTCCACTATCTTTAATCAAGAAGGTTTACAAGCAAACACACATGCATATACTTCTATACTAAAGATAACCACTTTCTTGACCCCAAGAAAGCACCCCTTGTAGAACCCACTACAAGAAACCTTATTACTTGAGAAACCCTTCTCAAGATTTTCCACAAAGATTCACAAAGAATAAAAGGAACGAATTCACCTGGAATTCTTGAACAAATCTTTATCTTCCCCTTTCAAGA